CTCAGGCCCATATCATCCTCGTATATCCCACTGACAACTGCCTAGTTCTCTTTTCATTTAGTCCTGCTCCTTTCTTCTACAGTTACCATATAAAGATCAGATTTTTGTGACAAAGCTTAATTGCACAAAAGATGCATTGGCTTTGTTCACTAAATTTGAACTTTTAGAATCTGAAAAGCCTGCTCCCTTTTCAGTTGCATTCATTCAGTCATGTACATTGCATTTGTGCTTGATTCATAGGCCAAACATATGGACAAACACCATGAAGCACAAATTCAGTGCAAGATTCCAGCAATGCCATCCTACTGGGTCATTATGCAGGGACTCTAGTGAACTGTGAAGTCCTGTTCCATAAATCTGTTCTATGTAAGTGGAATAAAAGATGTACACAAAAGGCCAACCCTGACTCTTGCCTCTAGTGAGGCAGCAAACCATATGGCATAAGTATTTGGTTCATGGCACCACTCTGCTCCACTGCCTCTCTCTGTTAGTAAAACGGAGGCTGTCCCTATCCACCTACCTCAGGGGTTACCTGTTGAGGGCTGGATTGTCATGAGGCCATATATATAAATATATTCCTCTATTCATTCCCAGCTGGCTGCCAGCCTACCCCACCCACAGACAGTGACCTCCATTGTGCCCTGTGTAGCAAATCTGAACTGTTGGGGCCGAGACCCCAATGCAACTCTTCTGAATGTAATAGGAAGGATATGGCTGCACCAATAAACCTTTCACTGGTATGTTGTGCCTGGTTCCTTTTATATGCTCCTGAAATGGAAAATCCAGCAAAACAAAAAAACAAAACAAAAAAAACCATTCAAGTAGAATTAAAGAAAAGGATTCAACTAAAGTTGACCCTTCCCACTGTCACACATGTGCATGCATTCTGAGTTTCCTTTTATTTAGAATAGATGATTATTAGCAAGGTTGTGCTTGTGTTCCTTAAACCTCGGTCCAGGTTGTAAATAAATGAAAGATGTTCCTGTTTCTGACATCAGATCCGAATAATCTGCTCTGACTGTTGTTGCCTCTCAGATGTTTCATCCAGACACCTGTCCTTGGCTTGCCAACAGAAATCTCATAATTAGAAACACAGAATTCAATTTCTTGATTTTATGCAGGCGTAGCATGTGTTCTGCTTCCCTCACCAAAGAAGCTATGCCTGTCCATTTATTTCTGTTCAGTAAACTGTACTCTAATTTTCATTTAAAATGTACTCCAGTGTAGGATCAAAGAAAAGACAAATGCACAACTCCATATAAAAAGTAACATTATCTATCTCCATCCACCCATCCATCCATCCGTCCGTCCGTCCATCCATCATCTTTATCTGTCTGCCTGTCTGTCTTCTCAAGATAGGTATAGTATGGGTGCAAAAGCTTCCAACAGTACATACTATGTGAATGCTTATAATGTAAGCAAAATTTAGAAGATTGCCCCAAATGAGGAACCAGAAAGAAGAAAAAAATCACTGGGACTTTGTGAAAAGAAACAGACTAGAGGAAAGGGTGAAATAGTGTTCCTGCATTTCTATACTCCACATGATCCTTCTAGAAGTGTTCTTCGGGCCCCTGTCTTAATTTTGTTACAGAAAACACTTCTACTTTAAATAAAACATACTTCTTAATTAAATACATTTAGGCCCAAGTTTTATAAACAACTTCATTCAAACTTCAATGTGCCCCAAAGCCCCTAATTCACCTTTTCTTGGCAAATTTTACTGTTAGGAAAAGCAGCAAACACTTGTGAAATAATTTCTAAATTATTAAGAACATAATCAGCTAAGTATCAGTTTTCTATTTATTTATTTCATTTTTATCCCCCCTTTTACAAAGAGCTCAAGGCAGCACACATTTCTAATGCTCCCTTCTCCTCCTATTTTCACAACAACAACAAACCTGTGAGGAGTGTTGGGCTGAAAGAAGAGAATGACTGACCAGCTTTCATGCATAAGGTGGGACTAGAACTCACAATCTCCTTGTTTCTAGGCCAGCACCTTAATCACTATACCAGCATTCGTACCAGGAAACCTTCGCAAGTTAATATTTCATCAGAAAAAAAAAGGGCAGTCACAATGCATGCTCCGCCCCTTACTCGTGTGCAACATTACAATGCAAGTGTAAAAGGAGTCAATACCACTTTAGAATGCCTTGGTAAGATGACCCTTGGAATGAAACGGGACGATTCGCTGCAGCCAACTCGCTGCAACCAAGTCGCCATGGGACAATGCACCACCACGGCCAACTCACTATGGGATAACTAACTGTGGGACAATTTAACAATTCAAGTTAATAATTTAAAATAAATAAAAAAATATTTTATTTTTGTCATTCACATTTTATTCTGACACTCCTTTTGCATTCCTTCTGTAATTCTTCTATTCTACCATAGCTTTGATATTAGTGTAACTCTTGTCCTATAGTGAGCTGGCCATGGTGAGTTGTCCTGTGGCGAGTTGGCTGTGATGAATTGTCATAGACCCCACATCCAGTTTTGGTCATCATATTATAAAAAAGATGTTGAGACTGGAAAGAGTACAGAAAAAAGCAACAAAGATGATTAGGGAACTAGAGGCTAAAACATATAAAGAATGGTTTCTAGAATTGGGTATGTCTAGTTTAATGAAAAGAAGGACAAGGGGTGACATAACAGCAGTGTTCCACTATCTCAGGGGTTGCCACAAAGAAGAGGGAGTCAAGCTATTCTCCAAAGCACCTGAAGGCAGGACAAGAAGCAATGGATGGAAACAAATCAAGGGGAGAAGCAACACAGAACTAAGGAGAAATGTCCTGACAGAACAATTAATCAGTGGATCAACTTGCCTCCAGAAATTGTGAATGCTCAAACACTGGAAGTTTTTAGGAAGAAATTGGACAACCATTTGCCTGAAATGGTATAGTTTTTCCTGCCCGAGCAGGGGCTTGAATTAGAAAAACTCTAAGGTCTCTTCCAACTCCGTTATTCTAGAGGAGTAGAATTTATATTGCAATACCACAATGCATGTTTCATCATTTTCCTTCTTGCTTCTCGGTTGAAGCAGCGTGTAGGAGTTTATAAGTTCAAAGCACATCCTATTAAACTTACCTGATGAATTCAATCCTGCAAAGTTAGCCAATATTATTAACTCCATATTATAGACAAGAGGGCTGGTAAGATTACAAATATATTATGGTAGTTTGCTTATACAGTATTATATACTGTAGCTCAGGTGAAATTTGAACTAAGGCAAAATCCTGCCAGTTTCACCCCACTTCACTGTATGGTTCTCTGGATGAGAAGGAGGATTTCTGCTTAGCAAATGATGCCGGATAAAGGACGAAAAGAAATCTGGAATCCACCAATCACTGCTTGAAACTTAACTGCATTAAATCCTATGGGGATAACACCATTTAGGTCAACATATTTTTCTACTGACTCAAGGATGTGAAGAATGCAAACTCTGGAGTATTACAAGACAGTATGCAACTCCTGATTTGCTCTCACCTGAGCTAGGAACTTACTGGGTCACCCTTTCTGCAAGAAGCAATAACAGCTTGCATTTATGATGACTATGAGGTTCAAAAATTGGAACAGCAGCAACCTGCTCGAATAAGACAACTGAATATTTCTAGTTATCCCAGATGCAGAAGTAAATCCCAGAATACCCCAATGCTCCAGATCCAAACTAAGACAAAGAGTTGAACTTCGTCAGCAATGTGTGTCTCTATTTCAGCTAGCTCAGGAATTTTTTGACTGCCATGACTTTAAGTCATGACTGATTTCATCAATGTCCATGCTTCCTGTTTGAGATTTGGTTATTTCCAGAACACAGTTCCTGTTTTCCATTCCTTTGCTCAACCAAAAAGACTTTTGGTGGATGAAATTCTGCCCTGGAAAAACACTTCCTTAATACCAAGGAAGTGGTCATTTCAACTGCAAAACCAGTTTCACAAACTTAGCATACAGTGCACTCCCAACCAAGAATAATATTCCCCTTGATAAACTCCCTATTGTAAAATTCCAGGAGAAAAAAAAAAAGACTTGTCCAATCACAGCAAAGCAGTCCTACTTTCATTTAACACAAAAAGGGTCTTACAATCATGCAATTATTCTGTACCACATGAACTGTTTGAAATTTGAATTACAGGTAGTCTTATAACCATTTATTTAGTGACCGTTCAAAGTTACAACAGCACTGAAAAAGTGGCTCATGACCATTTCCCACACCTACAACTATGCAGCATCCCCATGGTCAGGTAATCAACATTCATACACTTGGCAACTGGCATATATTTATGATGGACGCAATGTCCCAAGGTCATGTGATCACCTTTTGTGACCTTCTGACAAGCATAGTCAAAGGGGAAAACAGATGCACTTAACAACCACATTACTAACTTAACAACTGCAGTGATTCACTAAACAACTGTGGCAAAAAAGCTCGTAAAATAGGGGCAAAACTCACTTAACAATTGCCTTGCTTAGCAACAGAAATTCTGGGGCTCAGTTGTGGTCGTAAGCTGGAACACTTGCATGTTCCAGCTGAAATAGTAGGTTTTTTCCCCAGGACATGAGAAATCTGGGTTCATTCTCCAATAAGCAGGACTTCATGACAAGATATTTTGGATATTTTGGTCAATCATTCCAAAGTATCAAGGATACCAACAATGAATTACTACAGGCACATAAATTATTTTATCAGAGGTGAGAAACATAAGTAGTTATTGAATTATAATTCCTAGCATCTTTCGCCATTAGTCTTATTGACCAGACTTTTAAAGATATAGTATAGCATTACGTTATCTACGTTCCTGATAAGGGATACATTACTAAGTCTGCATCAGCTCCAGCTTCCAGACAATCATCAAAGGCAGTAAAACACATTACAATACAGCTTACGAAGCTAGGACTGAGGTGATTATATTATGTGGTATAAAGGTGGGGGAAAGTGAGATGGGGAATTTCCCCTGAAACCAAATTTACATTAACGGTATCTTTGTAGGCTAGAGCACTTTTCATTCTCAAGGACAAGAACTCAATATGTTCAGGCCCACTGAGTTGCAGGAAGTGTGTGAATCAATTCTATCTGTTGGCGGGAGATCATGTTGAATCTCTTCCTCGGCCTGCAAAAGCCTCATAAGTTTCTGGCAGCGCTCCTGCAACTGGAAGGCAAACCAAAATGACATGAATCATTCACATGATAGCAGAATTAAGTAATACAGAAGAACCCCTTTTGCCTAACAGCCACACCTAACAAAAGCAATTCATTTCCTCCATTCTTTGACACAACATCATTAATGTAATATGAAAAGGCCTCTATTCCCTCCAAATATAGTACACTGCCTTTTTAATTTATTTAGGACCCAATTCCCCATAGCTGTTGGAAGACCTGCATTTTGTTCCAGAGCTGGTAGAACTGTGACCATCCTTCATTAGCCACAACTTATTAACCTAGACTCTTACTGTATAAATTGGTCGTATAAGGATTGGCCTGACCTCCAACTCTAGTAGCCAATCTCTCTGCAAGATGTTCTTGTGATAGTTCTCCAGCCTAAGCTGTCTCTGTAATGTATCCAGCTCCCGGAGGGTTTTTTGGCGCTGTGCTCTAGACACGTTCCAGTTGCCTTTCTTGAGTTGTTGCTCAAGGGCTTCTAGTTCACTTTCCTTGGTCTCTTTCTGCAGATGCAGATCCGAAATCCTCTGGTTTACTTCCTGAACCTCTCCTTCTAGTGTCCAAGAACGTTCCTCCCGCCAGAGCAGAGACAGGAGTTCTCCATAGGTCTCCTGAAGCTGATTCCTTTCTTGGGTAATTGTTGTCTTATACATGTCCATGTTGTTTTTGTTGTTGTTGGCTTTGGATGGCCGCAAGGTCTTCATACAGTCATGATGGTTTAGAGGTAGTTCAGACTGGCAAAGGGATGCACCATGCCAGGGATGGGCCAGACTGCCTTTCATCACTCTTATATCATCACACCTCCGGATTAGAACTGGATGTGAATGTTCTGGGTGGGGGCTATGCCTTCTGGCATGGTATTTCACCCACTGCTTAGTAAGCTCAGCAGCTGCTAAGCTCTTATGAAAAAGATCTGGGACTAGCCTCAAGATCTTCACAAAGGGATGGATGTAAGCAAAACCTTGCAGATCAAGGAGGCTCTGGGGGTAGAAGGCTTGCTCACAGAGTGAGTCCTTTTTCAGGAGCAAGGCCCATTTCCTTCTGAGGGCAAACAACTGCCTAGCTGTACGTGCTATTGACACTGTGGCATGAGGACTGCATCCTTTCATGAATCCTAAAGGCAACCCATCCAGTGAGTCATCATTAACATATAGGTTCTCACACAAAGGAAACACAACTTTGGCATCAAACTCTTCTTTCAAAGAACTTAGGTAGCTCACATAAGAAACAAACCAAGAAATGTAGCTGGCAATGTCAGATTTATCTTCACTTATTGTAATTCTCACAATGTCCTCGGTGTTACATTCTTTGGACTCCACAAGCTTTTCCAGCTGCTGGAGACTGTGAATCTCTACTACACCATCATCTTCATTGAGCAGTAGCAACAATACATTGTAAAGAGTGTGAATGTCAAAAGCCTGCTGGCAACTTCTTATATGCTTCTCAAAGGCCTGGATCTCATCTTGAAGAATGGTATACAGGACTTCCACAGGTGCCATAGGCAACCTGAGAAAGGAGAAAGGAAAGTTGTTGAGGGGGGAAAAAAATCATTGGGCAAGGTTTATTGCATATACCCACAAAAAACCATTTTTTCTTTTGAATAATTGGGATAGCTCCCCCCCCCCACATTAAAAAGTCCTCCTCAAAACAAAATAACAAAGAATCTTACACCTGTTTAAAAATCAGTCAATGTATATACAGTACTGGATTACATTTTCATAAGCTAGATAAATAAAATATTATCCCCAAAAAGGAAATACATTTTGACAAGAGGCAAAAATATCAAAAGTGTTTGTTTGTGAAAATCACTGCTCAATATTTTTTCTCTATACCAACATTTTGCATCCTTCCCATTACTCTTCATTACATGCTCATATGAACAACTGAGTTCAATATTGCATATATCTGATGAAGTGGTCTTTAGCTTATAAAAGTTATACTCAAATAAATACATGAATTTTCTAAGTACTACAGCTTTAATTTTTATAGGAATAACTTAACCAGATTATTTACCTACCCATTGTAATCTACAAGGAGGAATACACAACTATAATATACATCATGACATAAAGGAAAGCTTTTTGAGGAGTGCCTAATAAGAGGCTGTCCTCTGCCTCTTGCATTTCTATGAAAAGTACACTTACTTTTCTTTTATGTTCCAGCCTTATTCTCTGAAGTTCAGACCTTATCACCTCAGAATGCAGTGTCCATCTAATGGAAACAGAACCTGGTTACATTTTACTGAGCAGAGGGAGGGAGAGACAAACAATGTTTGCCATGGTCACAGCATGTTGGAACTTGCTCTCAGGGCTCACTGCCAGGAGAGAAACTTAGCCCTTGTGTTATGAGTCATTCAACAATGGAGAACAACTTTCCAATGAATAGAAACGCAACCTCACTAGCAAGAAAGAATTAGGAAGGGTAGAAATACTAACTCTACTAGATATTAAGGAAGACAAGACTCCTTTAGACTTCACATCTGGACGCAAGAAGAAATTGCAACTCAAACTGAACCTGATAAAATTTCAACTGAGTTCACATACATACTAAGTCAAACTATGCATGTCTGAAGTATCTCTTTTATTGTACCTAATAGTATACCTGACTCTGGGTAGACTTACTCCATCTCTTCATCATTTGGTTTTGGAGTACACTTATAGAAAAAGTTTATTTCTTACATGCTGGAATTTGGAACTGAATTAGAAAGTCTAAAGTGGACTTTTAGAACAGGAGATGGGACTTGAAAAGCAAACTCTGAAAGGGATTGGTCTTCTCTTGACAAACTAACTACATCAAATGATGCTAAGTTTGGAAAATATTTTAAAATTACAAACCAATGCAAGATAAGGATGTTGTTAAATGAGGTAAATACAAGAAAGATGTACTGCACTCTTCTGAAAAGATAAATTCACAGGAAGTATATGAGGCCTGGAAACATAACTGCTCCTGGATACTCTCAATTAATGGAATACAGAGGTACTCTGATGCTCTGGAACAAGACGTTTTGAAAATAAGAGCTACTCTGTACACATCTATGTACAACCATCTTCTAAATAAACCAGCTAAGATAATTTTAGTAGTGGTGTTGCAGAATCCAGAACAATGTGTCCTGGGGAAGTCAACCTCCATGCTAAGATTATATTAGATCAGCTCAGGAATTCATGGCATCCATAACAATATGGAGAGAGTTAGTTTAGTATTTTAGTTAAGGCATCAGGCTAGAAACTGCGAGATTGTAATGTCTAATCCTACTTTAAGCACAAAGCCAGCCAGGTGGCCATAGGCCAGTCACTTTTTCTCTGTCATAGAAAGGCGGCAATGGCAAACCACCTTTGAAAAACTTTGCCAAGACAACTTGTCCAGGCACTTGTCCAGGTAGTTTCCAAGAATTGGACATGATTGAATATAAGTTTTAAAAAAAATGAGGTTGTACTGATTTGCCATCCATTTGCACACAAAGCTTGTCTTGGATGTTGTCATGTTTTTTATCATGATAAAAATAATCATAGTCGGATGAATTTATTATGGGAATTGGGCTCATAACATTCAGACAGTCTTTTGCTTCATGAATGGAGAATCACTTGGGGAGGTCTGCCTGGAGTCTTATGGAATCTAATGGATTTTTCTGCATGGTTAAAGCTGGTGATCTTGTTGAGATCTTAGCTATTTACTGGAAAGGTATGATGAGATGGCTGCTAAGACAATCACTCTTAAGACTCTTCTACAGTTTGCATAGTATGTACTGCACTCCAGTTCTCAAAGGAATTGGGGGTGATGATACAATTGGCTACAGAATGAATTAATGATGGAGAACTTATCACAAACATGAGTGAGTGCACATTAGGAAACACGATTATGCCTACAGCTTAGCAGCATGGGGGAAAAGGATATTTGCAAATTACAATGCATTTTAGCTTAGGGGTTGCAAACTGCTCTTCCCTACTTGAAGCACCCAAGCTTTTATCAGTCTGTTATGTGACAAATTTGTTTAACATTTCAGTTATAATATTATTTGTCTATGAAGATATAAAAGGCAGATTTCAAAGGAGTCTCAGTTAAGTGTCCAAGACACAACCATCAATACTGATTCCTCCAAACTGTAGCAGTGGGAAATACCCTATTTAAACCCTCTATTAGTTGTTTCTAGCCATTAAGTGGGTAGTTCCCTCCTGAGGATGAAATATGAAGATTCCAGCCTTCAGACCATTTCCTGCTCATAACTTTCCTAGCCTTTATAGTAGAAGATATATGCTAAACTTTTGTGGTGCTAATGGCCGTTTAGCCTGAGGAAAGCTAAATGGCCATTAGCATCCCAAAGATTTCAGCATAGATCCTCTACCACAAAGGGTAGGCAAAACATGAGCAGAAAGTGGTGTGTCATTAATACTCTTAATGTCGGGCTTCAGGACGCTGGTAAGATATAGAGCCCGACAGAAATGATGCAAGTGGCACAGATAACCTTAAGACCGGTGATCTAGTTTACACTTTCTCTACTTCATTGAAAAGAATTATGTGAAAGCCTTCACTGATTAAAGCTATGATGGGTGGTAGAAGTCAATATCTTTTAAAAAAAAAAAAAACAAGTTTTATTAATTTTCAAAACACACAAATCATCATTATCCATTACATGTTTAAACCTTTTTCCATTATAAATTTAACAAGTCAGATAAATTATAATTCTGTTTTAAACCATTTCCATATAAACATACAAAAACCTCTTATTCAATTTCTCTTTACTTCTCTTTACTCTTATTCAATTTCATTATTATTATTTCATCTATTTCTTTCTGACTTAGTTACCATTATTCTCATTCTATATTTCTGCAAGGTTTTATTAATTCTCCCAAAAAAAACAACAACATATACACACAACACACAAAACATAAAAAAAATCTTTTTGGAAAGTAACTTGGACCCAGGTATCTCTCTCTTCATGGACTTCAATTATATTCATGCTCATCTTACATATCATTACTTATTTTATTTACCATTCTAAGTCTTCTATATTAACTTCTCCACATATTTCACTCTTCTTAATTCTATCTTAATTAATCATCTTAATTTGAGTCATTATATTTGTATCTTTTGTCCATTCTTTATTGTCCCTTTGTCTCGTTCCTTATAAAAAAAGAAGAAGAAGTTTCTCCTGAAATCACTAATCAGAGTATGATGCCTTTCTATCTCCCCCCTAAATTAATCAAATTAACCTTTAAAATAACGCCCAATACCCAATCCGATTTTGCTTGGTACATTCTATCTAAATAGTACATCCAGAATAATTAAATACATAGTTAAACAATAGATCTAAATATTAAAAACAAATACTATAATAGAAATTTTATAATAACATCAATACCATAATCTTATTAAACTCTTTAATTAAAACTCAATATTCTAAACCTCCCCTCATATTATTAAATTTTAAAACCAATCATTATTAAACATTTCAACATTTTAATCTCTTATCAACTCTTAAACCATTTAAGTTTTCTATTTCTAGTACAATATTACAATATCATCTTATGTACCTTGCAAAATCTTTTTGAAGAAATTATACTTTATCCTTTATCCCTAAAAAAAATTCCTTTTTTCCCATTTAATTTCAAAACTTTGTAGCTTTTCTCCACCTTTTCCCTTTCTTTCTTCTCCCAACAAACCTTTCTACCCCCCTCTTCTTCTAGCCTCTGCCTTACTGGCTTCCCTTCTCTGTCGTGTTACTTTTCCCTTTTGTTTACTATCATTATATTGATTTTGCATCTTATTTTTCCCTTTCTTAAGTATTTTTTTAAATCTTAAATCCTTTATTTCTCTTCCTTTCCCTCTTCCTTCTTTCTTGGTCGAGTTCTGAAATTTATTAAAAATGGCTTCCTCTCCTTCTTCTTCTTCTGCTGTCTTCATCTGTTGTAATGTTTGTTGATAGTTAATAAGCACCATTTCTAAAAAAAGGAAGGCTTCTTTCAAACCAGCTTTACCATTTTTTTTTTGCTTGTTCATAATCTTTTCTCAGTTCCTCAATAGAAAGAGCCATTATAAATCTTTTCTTTTCTTTTCCCCTTCTTTCTTCTTACAACAACCAGAATATTCCAAAGAAAAAATAAAACAGTCCCAAAGTTATCAATCAGTCCAAACCAAGGCAGAGTTCTCACTTTCTCCTCCTGGGGTAGTATCAATCAGGGAGAAAGAAAGTCCAAATCTGTTTCTTAAAATCTTATTGCAATATATTTTAGTCTTCAAGTCCTTAAGGCATCTCCTCCAACAAAATCTTAGCATACAATTATTATTTTTTTTAGTCCTCTCTCTTCCCACTCATCGCTTAAAGCCAGTTTTCACCTTAAAAAAATAGGTTTTTTAATATCCACTTATTTATTCCGTAGGAAAAGAGGGTAAGCTTTCCTTTCAGCACCACCAAACTGCCGCTTTTTTCCTCTTCTAGAAGGTATCATTCAGAAAGTCATACTTTTCAGGAATTTTGTTAAATATGTCTTAGAGTCCTAGGAACCAAGAAAAACTTTCTCCTTTCAGTAACTTTCTCCACTTCCTCCTGCGCATTCTTACCCGGCTGCCAGCTTCTTTGTGGCGGCCATTACGGACCGCCGCTGCACCGTCTTGGGAAAAGGGGGTTCTGCCGGCCAGGGAGGGGGTCTGCAACACCCCCAAACCCCTCTCCGGATCCCCCCTACCTTCAGCTGCCCCTGCAGGGCAGCCTAGCTCCGTACCCGTCCGGATCGGAGCCCCAAAAGCGGCTAGCGCAGCAGGGATCGCGCAGCTTCGTGAATCCCTGCCGCTCGCGAAGCTGACAAACTGGAAGTCTGGGTGGTAGAAGTCAATATCTATGGACTGTCTGGGGATGACCAGGCATATAGAAGACTGAAAGTTGGGAAGTAAAAGGATAAATGGTATAGACCATGAATTAATGAATAAAATGGAAGAAAGAAAAAATGTCTGTGAAACTAAGGGAAATAGGAAGGATGTAATCGAAGCTGATAAAGTTATAATCTCCACTTGTTTCTGGGGAATATTCCATCCAGTAGAATTAAGCATGGTGGACTTTTTAAAACAATGTCATCTTGCTTACTGATTTGAAGTACCTGCCCTCTGGAATAATATAACCCCCCAAATTTGTGCAGCTCTCACCCTCATAACATTTTCTAAATTACCTAAAACCTGGTTGCACTCTCAAACCTTGGTTAAGATGATTGTGAAGTCCTTTCCAGTTAGATTTGTTCCATCTAGTTTAAGATTAAG